GTCTTCCAGTGGTCCCACAATATATAATAAGCCCCAAACCCAAGTATCACCTCCCCCCAGTTACTAGTCTGGGGCCAGGTTTGTGGCTCAGTGGTAGAGCACTTGCCTAGCATGCATGAGTCACTGGGTTCCATCCCCAGCACCATATAAAAAAACTAAATAAACAAAATAAAGGTATTGTGTCCATCTACAACTAAAAAAGACAACAGTCTTGCTGAGTTGCCTAGACTGGGTCTTAAATTTTCAATCATCCTGCCTCCACCTCTCAAATAGCTGGTATTCACCATACCCAGACCAAGTTATCTTTCATACTTTCTTCCATTCTTCATCTGTCATTAAGTCCAGCCAGCTTAACTTCCTAAATATCTTTTTCTAGTCCACATCCTTCTTGCCTTCCTTCCCAGCCATTTTGTGAACTGTAACCAAATTAATCCTTCAAAATCAAACCTGATGATATTCACTCTCCCACCCCAACCTCATTTAAATGTATAGTTTGTGGCTTTCTATTGCTCTTAGCATAATGCAACATCTCAGGGTGGCTCCTGCCCACTCTCTAACCTCTACTCTAACCAGTTACATATCCTTTAAGGTCTTCAAGCTGTGACTTCTGTCTGAAATTCTTTTTTTTTTCTTTTGTTGCTGGGGATTGCACCCAGGGCTTTGTGCATGCTAAGTATGCAATACCACTGAGCTACACCCCCAACCCCTGAAATGCTCTTCCCCCTCCTATCCTGTATTTTCTCCCCCTGTACTTTATCTCTTATAGTTGTCAATCAGTTCTTCAGTAATGAAAATATCATATCCCTAAATTAGAGCAACGTCATGTCCTTCTCCTTGTAATATAATTCATTTGCAGTTTTTTAGGTATTAAGTACCTGCTGCTTGCCACCACTATGAGATTCAACTATGAGAAAAATATGGTTCCTGCCCTGGAGGAGTTTATAATCATATAATGAACAAGCAGATAATTATAGTGTTATGAGTGCTGTGGTGGCAATAAATATAGGACATTATGGAAATCAAGAAGTTCCATGTCGAGATTTGGGGATAAGAGTAGGCTTCTCAGAAAAGTGGAATCCTGAGATAAGTCCTAAAGTAAGGATGAACAAGAAAAAAACGGATAAAGAAAGAATCTATAATCCAAACAGAGAGTAAAAGGAGAAACTTTTCCAAAGGCCTAGAGGCAGGTGCAGAGAATTTGCTGTGAATTGTTGCATTTGGCTGAACTGCAGGTAGAGGTGAGGATATGAGATGGGAGTAGAGTGTAGACCAGGCTGAATCTTGAGCTTCCCTTTGGCACCTGGGAATATAACTTGCCAGAATACATTAGATTATGTAACAGATTTTTCCAACATTCTTTGGTTTTTCTCCTACCTGTAGTCTACAAGTAGTAAGCTAGGCTGATCAGTCTTCCAAGTTCCCCACCTGGTTATTCCTCAAAGCGTCCCGTAACTTTCTGTTATTACCTGTCTGAGAGAGGGCAGAAATAGACTGGCAGTAAATCAAATTCCAGTTGTTAGTAATTTCCCCAAACTGGAAACAAATCTGTGTCAATTTGGAGCTGGATAAATAAGGTTAAAAATATGAAAGATTCTATGGAATACTCTGCAGCTGGTAAAAAGGGTATGAGAGCCGGGTGTCGAGGCACATGCCTGTAATCTCAGTGACTTGGGAGACTGAGGCAAGAGGACCACAAGATCAAAATCACCCTCAGCAACTTGGAAAGGCCCTAAGCAACTCAGCAAGACCCTGTGTCTAAATAAGATACAAAATATGGCTGGGAATATGGCTCAGTGGTTGAGCACCCCTGAATTCAATCCCCAGTTAAATAAATAAATAAATATTTTAAAAGGACTGGGGATGTGGCTCAGTGGTGAAGCACTCCTAGATTCAGTCTCCAATACAAAAAAAAAAAAAAGAAAAAGAAAAAGAAATGAGTAGAGACAACAACTGTTTTCATTTATTGAGCACTTGTTGTAGGCCACATAATAGATTCCAAGATAGGATTTGTGTTCATTTCACAGGTGAACAAACAAGCTATGATGAAATTTTGTTCAAAGTACAGTGGGGGTGAGCATCAGTTTGCTATTGCTGTATAACAAAGCATCCTAAAACACAGTGGCTTACAACAATAAGCATTTATTCTTGCTTCTGTGTCTCTGAGTTAATTGTATGGTTCTGGTCATGGCTAACCTCATCATGTGACTTCAGTCATCTGTAGGTTTGGTGGCTCTCCATAGCCTATTTTGGGATGGCCTCAGCTGGGATCACTGGCTCTCTTTCACATGTTGATCACCTGTACATCTCTCATATCATTCCAAAAGGCCAGCCACATTCTCACGGCACTAGCAGAGAGCAATCTCTGCTTTAAAGTTTGTTAGCTTCATGTTTATCAACATCCCATTGGACAGAACATGTTAAAATGCTGAACCCAGCATCAAGGAGAGATGGAACTACAAAGGTATAGGGCAAAGAGGGATGGATACAGAGGAGACCATGAATAGGGACCATCAGAGCAATCAGTCTAATTCAGGATGCACTGATCAATTTTATCTGGAAAAGAAAGACTTTATAAAAGAAGGTACACTGGAGCTGAGTGTTGAAACACGAAAAAGTATTCACTAAGCAGGCAGCTGTTACTGGAAACTGGATGCTGGCTGGTTTGCCACAATCAATAGAAACCCAGCAGGTCTTTCTGTGCTCATGACAGGGTTCTATTATTTGTACTTGGCTTCATTCCTTTTGGTCAGGCACAGGGCAGCAGGCACTCAACAAATGTTTGCAGTATTGAATTGATATCTTACTGTGAATGAAGTGTGGAATGAAACAGCTGAACCTGGGAGCCAATTGTTAGAACAGCTTAGCATCAAGTCTCCCAAAACAGAAAACAGAAATCCTGTACGAGGCAGTTTTTCTTTCATTCATCCCACAAGTTTCCTGATTGCCTATCGTAAACCAGGTTCTGTGTAAGATGATGGATAAGACACTAGCTCACAACCTCCATTTAAACCTGTTTAAATGGAGAAAGCTAATAACTCTTTCCAACAAGCAAATTTGATCAGCTTCTTAGGGCTCAATTTTTACTACTAACTCATTCAGAAAATTCATCAGTAGCTACACAAAATTAGGTCTTAGGATCCACTGAGAGTCTATGGTTACTAAGGAGATTAACTGTAAAAATCTGCCCTTCAGTATTTTAAGGTAAAATCCATGTTCAGTGGTATAGAATTCTAGGGTTCCAACCCAGTACATATTTTAAGAGGAATATTCGGTCTTACTCAAAGGCATCAAACCTGTTACAGGTGCTGATGTGGGAAGGACTCTAAGCTAGGTTTCATTTGCTATTTGCTTTGTTGAGTACCTGTAGATTTTTTTTAACCCATTAAATCTCAAGTTTCAATTCTGTGCAAACATTCAATCTGTTGACACAGGTGCATTAAAATAGATTGGAAATATAGTCCAAGGCTTATATATGTGTTTATATACATACATATAAATATATATAGTATATTATGTATTATACACTATTAATTTGGGAAGGATACTGGGGATTAAACCCAGAAGCACTTTACCAACTGAGTTACCTCCCCAGCCCTTTTTATTTTTTATTTTAAGACAGGGTCTCACTAAGTTGCTGAGATTGGCCTTGAACTTGCAATCCTCCTGCCTTAGCCTCCTGAGCCACTGGGATTACAGGCCTGTGCCACTGCACCACTATGAGTTTCTTTTTCTTTTGGTATCAAAGATTGAACTCAGGGGCACTCAACCACTGAGCCACATCCCCAGCCCTGTTTTGTACTTTGTTTAGAGAAAAGGTCTCACTGAGTTGCTTAGTGCCTTGCTTTTGCTGAGGCTGGCTTTGAACTTTCGATCCTCCTGCCTCAGCTTCCCAAGCTGCTGGGGTTACAGGTGTGTACCACTACACCTGGCTCCACTATATATATATTTTTTAGTTGTTTATATTTATGTGGTGCTGAGTTTTGAACCCGGTGCCTCACGCATGCAAGGCAAGTTATCTATCACTGAGCTACAATCTCAGTCCCTCCACTATAAATTTTTATAGGTGTTCCACAACTGGGATGATGGGACAAAATGGAATAAGACTAAAAAAAAAAAAAAAAAACAAACTTTTTTTTTTTCTTTTTGCAGGGAGGACTGAGGATTGAACTCATGGGTGTCTTACCACTGAGCTATATCCCCAGTCCCCCCCGCCTTTTTTTTTTAATTTTGAGACAGGGTCCCACATGAAGTTGCTGAAGCAGGCCTTGAACTTGCAATCCTGCTGCCTCAGCCTCCAGAGTCACTGGGCCTATATGTGTGTACCAGCATGGCCAACTTGAGACAAAAAAATTCTTATTGTAATGTTAATCCAGCATGTCTAAGAAAGTACCTGTCAGTTAAGGCAATAAGAGCCTCTACCGCATTGTCTATGTGTTCCTACAAACTCCATTCTGCTGCTACTTGTGGGATCTTCTTAGCCAGCCCCAAATCTTCCTTCTTGTGACTTTTGCCAGTTCTGCCTTCTGTTCCAGCTTGACTTTCCGCTCCCAGGACCTTCTATCTACAGTGACAAACATGGTTATCTCCAGAGTAGAAATCAGGATCTCCTACTCCTCCACATAGTTGGTAACCTGCTTTAGATTGACCACACCCCTGTCATGCTTCTGTTATTCTTTGAAGAGACCCTGAGTTGCTGGTCTCAGTCTCCAACACCAGCTCCTATGTCCCTTTCATTCATCACATTCTACCTATAGATTTGATATCTAAAGATTCAGGTCTCCCTAATCAACAGTGCATGTCCATGGGGCCAGTCCACCACTCAACAGAGAATTCAGCTGTTGTGTGACTCAAGCTGACACTTCCCCAAAGCTCAGATGAGATTGCTATATTTTGGGGGGTTGGGGGAATTCAAAGGGATTGAACCCAGAGGTGCTTTACAACTGAGCTTCACCCCCAGACCTTTGTATTTTTTGAGACAGAGTCTTGGACATTGCCAAATTGCTGAGGCTGGCCTTGAACTTACGATCCTCCTGCCTCGGCCTCCCAAGTCACTGCGATTACAGGTATGCACCACTGTGCCTGGTGAGACTGCTACTTTTTGAAAGCAAGACATTCCCTTTGTAACCCTCTAAACCTACTAAACTCTATCCTTTCCTACAATAAATCACCAAAAAATGAATTTATTTGTACTGTATTATAGGTCCTTGGTTTTTAATAGAAAGTCCATTTGTTTATTTTGGTATTGTTGAGGATCAAACTTATGGCCTCAAGCATCCCAGAGCAAGTGCTTTACCACTAAGCTAAAGTCCCAGCCCCCAGAAATTCCATTTTAAGAATACTTCCCATCAGGCATACACCTGTAATCCCAGTGACTCAGGAGGCTTGAGGCAGGAGGATTGCATATTCAAGACCAGGAACTCAGGCCCTAAGAAACTTAGTGAGGCCCTATCTCAAAATTTAAAAAAAAAAAAAAAAAAAAAAGGGGGGCTGTGGGTGTGGTTCAGTGATAGAGTGGCCCTAGGTTCAATCTTCAGTACCAAAAACAAAACCTGCCAGTTTCATTGTCTTTGCACACAGAATAATTTACTCTTTGAATACAGTGATGAAAACTAAATAGTCCAAGGTTTTCCTTTTTGCTTTAGCTGCCAGGAATTTTGGAACTACATATAGTCATAGGTTTTGTGTGTGTGATACTGGGGATTGAACCCACACGACCACTGTCTTTTTATTTGAGACAGGGTCTGGCTAAGTTGCTTAGGGCCTTGCTAAATTGCTGAGGCTGACCTTAAACTTGCAATCCTGCCCCAGCCCCTCATGTTGCTGGGATTACAGACATGCACCACTGTGCCTAGCTAGGTGTAGATTATTAAAGTCCCTGATACATCTCTTCCTTTAATCTACTTTCTGATCTTTCTTTTCCACATTTATTTTTCTGCAATCTGCATTGTCCAGTATAGCCATTAGTCACAAGTAGCTAATTCAAATTGGGATGGGGGGGCATAATGTAATTATGTAATTTCTAATATTGATTACATGCTGAATATTTTGGATATATTGGATTAAATAAAATTTTGAGATGAAATTAGTTTAATTTTACTTTATTATTGCTCCTAGAAAAATTTTAATTACATGTTAAAAATTAATACGAAGCTTGCAATTGTGATTTTTATTATATCTCTATTGGACAGCACTGTTCTACAGATCATCCTGCTTTAACAATGTGTTATTGAAAACCTCATCCTTTTGGAAAGGAGGGAAAGTGTTAATGCAGAGGAGGTGACAGCAGTAAATGATGTGCAAAAGGGGGAGGTTAACTAGGACATGCACTTGTCCATCTAGTTGTCTTTTGTTTGTATGATTCACAAAAAAAGAAAAAGAAAAAAAAACCTCCTTGGCAAAATGAGTTTTTTCAGCTCTCTTCATCCCAGGTAAGTAGTATTCTGTAGTTTGCCCATCTCCAGGAAAAACCTGTTCTCAGATTTACTTTAGCTAGTATACTGGAAAGGATCTGATAAGACAATTCACACCACATTGCAAATAACTGGTAACTTTATGTTTACCCCTCTCAGAGGGAATTTCCATTTTAACAGGGAACAATCCCTGAACCCAAAGGAACGAATCCCTAATGGTGGAGTTTCAGTCATCAGTGACAGGTGAGTGAGAAGTAGAATCTGGTTTTATGTGTGTGTTTATATGTATGGCTACACTCTGGATGTGGTTGAAAGTAGGGTCTTTGGATAGAAAGGTGATGTGGCTGACCAACAAGCTGAGGAAAGAAGGTAGCAAATCCCCAGCTGGATCAGAAATGGGAAGGGCTCTTAGACACCAACCAGATTCAGCGCTGGCCCTCAAGGGTTTATTAAGCAATAGAATAACACAGTTGATGTCACCAGAGGGTAGGTATGAAGATGGTCTCCGTGGTAACTACTATGGAGTAGCAGAAAGACTCTCAGAGTAGGATTCAGGAGACTTGTTATTGCAGTCCACTGACTCACTGGCTTAACTCTGGGCAAGTCCTTTACCCCTTGGGTCTCATTTTCTTTCTCTGGAAAATAGAAATGGGAGTTTATAACTATGAAATAAGTTCTAAGAGATGTGAAGGTGCTTTGAGAAGTGCCTTACAAATGCAAAAAATAATGATTAATATCTTAAAATGGAAATGCAGCTGGGCAGGCCTACTAGAATGAAGAGTAGAAAGCAGGGGTGGAAGGCTATGGGGAAATTGAAGTTTGGATGTACCTTGTACCTGGAAACATGTGTTCTCTGTCCTCCTAGGAACCCGGACTACCAAGGCCCATGCTTGCACCTGATGAATGATGGCCTGAACTATGAGCAAACGGGACTATAAGAACACTTCCGTGCAGGAGCCCCCTCTCGACTATTCCTTCAGAAGCATCCATGTCATCCAAGGTCAGCCCACAAAACCCAGCACTCCCACTCACCATGGCAGCAGGCCTGGTATGGTCCCTAAGGAGGGACCAGTCTTCCACTTAAAAGTCTAAGAAGACTCTGCACATACACTTGCAGATTTGTTGTTATCTTTGCAGGATAAGAAGGAAATGGGAGATTTTTTTGCCCTCTCCCGCTGGTGCCAGGGATCAAACCCAGGACCTCACACATGCTGTGCAAGCACACTGAGCTCCTGACTTTTAATTTTTATTCACCTAACTCATTTCATTTGAAGGTTCTCAGGTGTGGGGAAGGAGGCAGGATTAGGAGTCTCTTCACAAGCAGTGGTACTCTGCTCCAGTACCCTTCTGCCACCTCAGGATCCCACATACTCCAGGATTATGACAGACAGCCACCTAGTGGATGCTGCCTGACCTGAAACTGAGGAGAGGAGAGTTAGTGGTGGGTAAGGGTGGGAACAGTGTGTCTAATAAGAGAATGGGGGGGATAGTAGAGAATAGGATAGATAGCAGAATACATCAGACACTAGAATGGCATTATGTAAATCAATGGAAGTGTAACTGATGTGACACAGCAATCTGTATACGGGGTAAAAATGGGAGTTCATAACCCACTTGAATCAAACTGTGAAATATGATATATTAAGAACTATGTAATGTTTTGAACGACCAACAATAAAAAAAAATAAGAGAATGGAAGGGAATGTGAAGACATTCTGGCTAAGTTTGGCAAATACTTCCTTCCCCTTTAGACTGATTAAAAATGAAAAGAAAAGAAAAAACAAGAAGGGGGTGCTTAGGGGCAAGAGGGAATAAGGACACCAAAGCCCAAACTGGTGTCTAGTTCTGACTCTGCAATTGACTATGTGCCTAAGCAGGGTCCATCTGTTTTATGGACCTCATTTTAAAAAATGAAGTGGGGGTGGGAGTGTTGGATATGTCTCTCCTCCTCAGCCAAACTATCTGAGGTGGTTGTTAAGGCTACCTTTCTTATTCTTCCTTTCCTCCCATTCACTCTGGAACTCACTCCATTCTGGCTTCTGCCAGACTCCATGGACATATTTAAAACTGTTCTTTCCTGGTTTTCCCTGTCATTCCATGATTACTAGGTAAGTTCTTTAATGGCTTCCTCTTCCTCCTTGACCCTTGTCTCTATTCTCACTCTCTGGAGAGTCTCTGTTCCCTAACTTGTACACCTTATACTAGTTCTTTATGAGATAACAGAACTGGCATCCACCCAGTCACCAAACAAACAAACAAACAAACAAAAAAACTGAGTACCACAATTGAATATACTATCTTTACATCCAGTTGGCCAAGTCATGTTGATTTTATTTCCCTCTTGTCTTGCTTAGATGACTGACAGAGCCAAATTGGTCTTTTCATGCCACCCACCCCCTAAAATCCATACACGAATTGGAAGCTTCACAGTGATCTTTCAAGTGAAAAATCTGAACCATCTCCTTTGCTTTAAATGCGTCAGTTCCTTCCCATCACCTATAGGAAAAAGCCCCAAACCCTTAGCTTGGCATTTAAGACTCATGGAGACAGCTGTGGTGGCACACATCTGTAATCCCAACAACTCAGGAGCCCAAGGTAGGAGGATCACAAATTCAAGGCTAACCTTGGCAATTTAGTTGACCTTATCTCAAAATAAAATTTTAAAAAGGGGTTGGAGATGTAGCTTGGTGGTAGAGTGCCCCCAGAACCATACCAAAGAAAGGAAAAAAAAAACTGTTCAGATTGGACAACTAACTGACTTAGCAAGACTCGTATCCAAAAACAAAACAAAATGCACTGGCATGTAGTTCAGTAAAATGATGACCTAGCATGTATAACCCTGGGTTTAATCTCCAGTACTAGAAGGAGGGAAAACAATTTGGTTTGCTTCCTTTTCCCTTCTTATGTAGCGTGCATGTGCACACTCCCTCGTGCTCTTCTACAGTTCTGTGGCTTTGCTTATGCTGTTCACATTCTTTGCCTGGTTAACATCTCCACTGAGGTCCAGCTCAGGCTTCACCTTCCCTGGGAAACTTCCCTGAGCTCCTAGACTGAGTGAGGAGATCTCTACATTGTACCAGCACTCATCATACTATACTGCCAGTTTGCTTCCATCTTACCTGAACCACCTCCTCCAAGACACAAACATCTGCTTTATCCCTTCTCTATTGTTCACAGAGAGCCTGGCATGAACTGTCTCTTGTTGTGTTCACCATCATATATCCAATATTTTAGACATTGTAGCTCACCATCAGAAGACAAGGAGGACCATCAGGGTGAATTCTATTGAATTAAATTCTATGTGTTCCACTAGTGGACAACTCTTGATTTTTGTGCTGTCATCTTCCTGGTTCAAGCCCTACAACTCTAGTTCTTAGATTTCCTCATCTATAAAATAGAATTACCACCGGGTGCAGTGGCACACACCTGTAATCCTGGTGGCTCAGGAGGCTGAGACCAGAGGATCACAAGTTCAAAGCCAGCCTAAGTAATTCAGCAAGACTTTGCATCTCTAAAATAAAATATAAAAAAGGGCTAGGGATGTGGTTCAGTGAACCCAGCCCCTGGATTCAATCCCCAGTACCAAAAAAAAAAAAAAAATAGAAGTGGCTTTGCTCAATCCTAACTCCACACAGAGGTGGTATACAGAGGACTCAATGATACCGCAGACAAGAGACCATCTGAACCTGGAAAGCCAAGAGTTTGGGATGGGATGTTTTTGACCCCATAGTTAAATCTTGCATTGATTGTTAAGAGCTTATGGAACAGGGGTCACTCTAAACTCGAAGCTTGACACTCCATGGTAACCCCATAGAGGAAGAGAAGGGGTACAGGTAAGTATCCTGTCCCTGAACTGGGATTCAGCTGGGCTCCCCTGGGAGACAACAGAAGGGGAGACAGGAAATCCAAGCACTCAAGCATAGTGCTATGGCCTGTTAGCCCTTCGGTTATATCTGGGGATGCTCATCTTGACAGATTTGTTCCTTCCAGAAAAGCAAAGATGATATACCCAAGCCATACTTTGTCTTCACAGATCTGATAAGCGAGGAGCCAAGGGTAGGGCTCCGACCACTGAAGCATTCAAAGTCAGGAAAGCCATTGACCCAGTCCCTGTGGCTGAACAACAATGTCCTCAATGACCTGAAAGACTTCACCCAGGTGGCGTCACAGATCCTGGAGCACCCAGAGAACCTGGCCTGGATCGACTTGTCTTTCAATGACCTGACTTCCATTGACCCTGTGAGTTTCTAGCTGTAGGAGTTCAGTCAAGGGGTGAGAATGGAGAGGTGGGTAGGGTAAGGCCACTGTCCATCCCCCAGCCTCTCTACCATCTTATGAAGGAAGTTAAACAAGCAGCATGGTATGGTATAAAGCACATGGCTTTAAGGTCACACAGATGCAGATTCCAACCTTGGCTCTGCCTCTTAACTGTGACTTTGGGCAAGCCACATAACCTCTTAAAACCTCAACCTTCATGTCTGAAAAATCAGGATAATATGCCAGCATCATAAAGGGTTTATAAGGATTAAATGAAAAGATACAAGAACCAAGTGGACATGGATAGCTGAAGCAAAATTGTAGGTGTCATTACTGGGTACCTACTATGTCTCATGCTGAGTTCTGCTATGAATGAGGTAGATAGAAAAGTACAACACTTACTTTTTGCAACTTCTGGTTCATGTTTTAAGAAATGGGGAGACTGTAGCCCTGATATAGTGATCTTAATTTAACTAATATCTTAAAAGTTTCTCTTATGTACCTAGCATGATACTCTGTACTCTGGTCCCTTGCTGTGATAAGACTTTTAGTTCACCTCAAGTGGGAAGATCTTTAGTGAAGCAGCAAGTAAGGCTCAGGGACCAGCAGGAGAGCCATCACCTGGCCAGACAGTAGCAGTGATGGGACTAGGGGCCTATACCTCCTGTCCAAGACAGAAGGTCCCCATACCTTCTTTCCTGAGATCACAGTTCTATTTCAATGTGATATCCCTCTAGCCCTTAAAAGGTAAATTAAAGTAGGTTAGAATCCTCCAGTATAGCTATAAGGATTGGAATAGAGGGCAAGTTGTTCCCCAAACTCTTCCTTTTTTTGCCAGCAAGTTAGTCCTGAGCAGAAATCCAGGGTCTTGCCAGCCTGTCTTTCGGTTTCCTCCCTAACAGATCCTAACAACATTCTTCAATCTGAGTGTCCTCTATCTTCATGGAAACAGTATCCAGAGCCTGGGGGAAGTGAATAAGTTAGCTGTCCTTCCTCGGCTTCGAAGCTTGACACTCCATGGTAACCCCATAGAGGAAGAGAAGGGGTACAGGTAAGTATCCTGTCCCTGAGCTGGGATTCAGCTGGGCTCCCCTGGGAGACAACAGAAGGGGAGACAGGAAATCCAAGACCATTCTTCTACCACATGTAAACCTGGGAAGAGAGAACTATAAGCATTTCTTGCTATCAGTTTGGATGAACCCAGTCTCTCTCACACCATATTCAGGTCCCTCCATTCCTTGCAGTGAGGGAAAAGAGCAGCAACAGGTGGAGGGGAAGGGGATTCTGGTGGGGGGGCAGGCCCCCAGCCCAAGTCTTCCCTACAGGCAATATGTGCTGTGCACGCTGCCCCGTATCACCACGTTCGACTTCAGTGGGGTCACCAAAGCAGACCGTACCACAGCTGAAGTCTGGAAACGCATGAACATCAAGCCCAAGAAGGCCCGGATCAAGTAGGATGCACTCTGAGGTTCCCAGGACCCCAGCAGTCCTGAAGCTAGTCAGCTTAGTTTGAGAATAAATGATTTGAGCTGTTGTTCAGAGTAGAAGTCACTTGTACCTTGCAAAGATGCCCTCCAACTCCAGCAACTGCCAGTAGCTCTAATATTACTTCATTGAGGCAGGCAATGATGGGAAAGGCCTGCTGGCCAGAGACACAGGGGACCTGGGTTTACATGTGTCCTTGGAAAACTTATCTAGTCTCTCTGGGCCCCTCTGTTCTCTTCAACTTAGATATCATGGGATTAGAGATCAGCATTTCCCAAATTCTTCACAGAATGCCAGGTTCTTGGAGCTGCGACACAGGCCTCAAAGACAGGCCCAGAATATGGGCTATGTTCTACTTCAATCAGATCACAGTCGTCCTACTCTTAATATTTATATGTTGGTATTCTGCTTAAGATTCCATTTCATAGCCAGGCATGCCTATTAATCCCAGCAGTTTGGGAAGCTGAGGCAAGAGGATCACAGGTTCAAAGCCAGCCTCAACAACTTTTTAAGGCTTCAGGAACTTAGCGAGATCCTATCTCAAAAATAAAAAGGGCTGGGGATATGGCTCAGTGGTTAAATGTCCCTGGGTTCAATTCCCAGTACAAAAAAAAAAAAAAAAAAGATTTCATTTGATAAAAAGATCTTCTTGCTTTTGAAAACATTTGTTGGCTGGATCCTTATTAAGCATCCCTAGCAGAATCTGGTCTCCTCCACCCCTAGCGCTATTGTAATTCCACTGAGCCTGAGGCAGGGTCTCCAGCATTCATAACTGCCTCAGATTTAGTTCTGTCCAGCTGTGACAGTGTTTGATAGGGATAAGAGCAGTCTTATCCAACCTGAGGTTAGCCTAAGCTGGTCTAAGCTAAGCCTGGGAATTCTGAACGCTTATCTCCTAGATTCCTCTTTTTTTTTTTTTTTTTGGTACGGAGGATTGAACCTGGGGCGCTTCACAACTGAGCCGCATCTCCAGCCCTTTTTATATTTTATTTAGAAAAACAAGGTCTCCCCGAGTTGCTTAGGGCCTCACCAATTTGCTGAGGCTGGCTTTGAACTTAAGATCCTCTTGCCTCAGCCTCCCAAGCTGCTAGGATTACGGTGTGTCTCACCACACAGTTCTGGATTCCTCTTCATGATCCTAGAAGATACCTCCTCCCCCATCTCATTGCTCACAGACTGCAATAGCCAGAAATAAATAGTTGGGTAGTAGGCAGGACAGAGGGGCTGGAACCAGCACACAAATGAATACACTTCCTTTATCGAGGGTGACAAAAAGAAAAAAAGACCAAACATGTAAAAACCCAGGGTGCTGGAAATACAAACTCAATTCATTCAAATTCAAGCTCATCCAGACCCTGGGCACAAACCCTAGTGAGGTGCATGGGAGCACCAAGTCAGAGAAAGGGGGACAGGAGTGAATCTGAGGCCAAGAGAAAGGGTGGGAAGGACCTCCCCCTAGGTCCCTTGGTGTTCACTCCCACAGTGGTATCTCCACCTTCCAATGACTGTGAAGACCTTCCAGTCCCTGTCCTCTTGGCTTCCACCCCAGCCAGGGCTTTGAAGGCCAGTCTTGAATGGTTCTACCCTCCCTTGCTCCATCCTCCCTTGCTCAGGCTTCTAGCCTCGCTCTTCTCCTCCTCCACGTTCTTCTCAGTGATTAGTAGCAGGTTAGGGTACTGTATAAACCGAAGTGAGGCTGGGGGCCATGGGAGGTGGGATGGAGACAGGTGAAGAGAGGAGAAGAGCTGTCCAAAGACCCCTCTCTTCATGGGATCCCAAACTGTACAACCAGCTCCTCTTTTGCGTCCACACGGATCTGAGAAAGTGCACTGTAGGCATAAGCAGCTATCCTGGAGACCTGAGGCAAAAGGGCCAGGGAGGAAAGGAATAGAGAAATAAGTGAGAAGGGGATCCAGAAAAGGAGAAATGGGGGGATGGGATGGCAGTGAGGGAAAAGAAGAGGGAATGAGGGAGGACAAAAAGCTGATAAGAGGGCTGGGGTTGTGGCTCAGTAGAAGAGTGCTCGCCTAGCACGTGCAGGGCCCTGGGTTTGAGCCTCAGCACCACATAAAAATAAATAAGTAAAAGGTATTGTGTCCAACCACAACTAAAAAAAATTAAAAAATAAAAAAAGCTGATGAGAAAGGCAGAAGAAGGAAAAAAAAAACAAAACCCAGAATAACAATCAAGGTTGAGGATAGAGAGACTGGTGAGGACAGAAAAAGTTAGAGAAAGTGGGGGTAGGCCACAAGGCTCCCTAACTCTACTCCCTACCTCTTCTGAGGCAGAGTGGTAAACCCTTCTGCTATACTCTGGGCAGTTTGGGAAGGGCAAAGGAGGCAGGCTGGTGTGGCTCACCTGCTGCAAGTCAGAGAAGGGGATAGGCTCGCTGGCCAGCACTTGGTGGGGCTGGCTGGTAAGAGACGGCAGCGGTGGTAGCTTCTTCCAATGGGTCAGGCTGCTGCTCAGCACAGCCAAGCGTGTGCTGGCCAAGAGGAAGGGGATAGGGAAGGTTAGTTAGGCCATAGCCTTCGCTTCCCTACCCGGTCCTGCCCAGTCCTGCCCAGCTCAGCAAGCCTCACTCCGTGAGGCCAGAGGAGCAAGATGACAGGGGCCTCACTCAGCTTATCACAAACTCACTCTTGGTGCAACTTTGTCCTCAGCACCCTCAAGATTACACAGGGCAAACAGGGCTGACATAAACATCAACTGTGGCTTGTGGTCAGTCTCCTGGGCTGCACCAAAATAAGGAGGCTGTGCTAGGGCCCAGGCTCCAAAGATGGAGGGCAGATGAGGGGTCCAAGCTGGCCCAATGTTCACCTGTACTGCCTTGCCCGGTCCATGTACTCATGCTGCTCCATGCCCTGGGAGTCTGCAGCAGACACATCGATGATGTTGCTTTGAGGAAAGAAGACAGAGAGGACGTGACAAGTACTTCTAAGGGGGACAAACATGACTCCGTGCAGGTGCCAATTCCAGTGCTGTCTGACACCAATATCCCTACCTGCCCATTAGAGCAGGGCAGGGCCCAACACCACCTCTCCTCAATGACCTTATCCTATCCCCCATATCCAGGCCCATTTTACAGTAGGCCTGTGCTGTGACACATACTTACCTAGCTGTTTTTGCGAGGATGGAAGAGAGCAAGGCCTGCTCATCTGTGCGAGCAGAAGGCAGGCTGTGGTAGTTGGGCTCAGCTCCATTGAGGGCTTTGGTAGGGGGGCTACTAGGGTCCAATAGCAGCTTCCGCTCCTCTCGGTCCTAGGAGAGGCCATTGAGAAGTCAGGCCCAGGACTTTCCTGTGTTTCTCCCCTCAGCCCAGTTCTCATCTTTAAACACCAAAAATATTTTAAAATATGAATATTCAAAAGTGCCAACTTTATGGAATGTTAGGTAAGACTTGGTCCCTGACTGCCCTTAGGAGCTCAGCTGAGTTGGTGTCTGGCATGAACTAAACCAAGAGGTCCTAGAGGTCCTGCACAGATGAATAGAGGTACATAATAGGTGTTCAGAACATAACCCAGCACCCAGTGGAGAAAGGATATTGGAGGGAGAAGACAGAGGAGGTGGGAAAATACCAAAACAATAAGGTCTAGAGGGAAAAATAGTGCAAGTCAAGTGCCTTCCTGATCCCTCAGACAAGGCTTTCCCCAGCAAAGCTGTCTGTTCCCAAGATGCAAAGGCCCTGGTGAGTCTTGACAAGATCCTAGGCTCCAAGGACAAGCAAACCCAACCCTTCACATGGCCATCCTGATCATCTCAGGGCAGAAACCTCTGCCCAGCCTTTGAGAGGATATCATGACTCTGCTCCCTTCTTGAGGTAGGTCCATTTACCTTAGGTGATCACCCTCCTGTCTTGTGCTCTGTATATGACTCCCAGACCAAAGTGAAGCGTGCCTAGTATATCCTGTCCTAAGAGAACAGTGGAGCTTTCCCTCTCTTGCCAAACTACCATACCTCTTTCATTTTTTTAAGCTTTCCAGATGCCTTTACTTATTTTGCAATAGTGGGGAATAGAACCCAGGGGTGCTCTACCACAGATCTTTATTATAATTATTTTTTATTTGGAGATAGTATCTTGCTAAGTTGCCCAGGCTGCCCTCAAACTTGCAATCCTCCTGCCCTGGCTGGGATTATGGACATGTGCCTCTATGCCTAGCTCATCATACCTCTTTCAATGTGACCTGAGCAGCCTCCTTCATTCTAGTAGCTCAATTACTACTAGTCTGCACTGATGATCATTACATCCCCTAGAATTGACCTAAGTTGAGATCTAGCCTCCCTAGTCCTGTTTCAGGCCCTGTTCTAACCTGCTTCTTTCTGGATTTGACTCTACTATAATAAGCCCAGCAGCTACAGATCCCTCTGGCTTTGTGTCAGCTGCAAATTGGATAAGCAGACCTGTTGGTATCTAAGCCACAAAGAGCTCAGGATAATGCCAAGGATGGATGGGGCAGGGAGGGCCATGGAGGGGGTGGAACCTGGCTAATGCTGAGTCATCAGCTCTCAAAGCCAGCTTACCAGATTCCTTAATGCTCCTCTCCAAGCTTGTCTCAGTTTCTACCACAGACTTCCCTACTGTAGGAGCCAAATCCTCCACCCACAACTCTCCTCACAGAGGGCCACTTCCTCCAGCCTTGCCTGCCCCACCCTAGGCAGGCCCAGCCTCTCCACCTTCCTCTTCCTTTTCAAGCCTAGCTTGCCCAAGTGTCCTCAGGCCATTTAATTCAGTTCCCATTATTAACAGAAAGAAGTTGTGGGATTCTGCATCATCACCTCTAAACCCCCAGACACCCTCTATCCTCCTCCATCCTCAGTACTAAATGGCTAAAAAGATGTTGTTGTGGCTATAATCCCAGCTACTCAGAGGCTGAGGCAGGAGGGTCACATATTTGAGGACAGTCCTGAGTAACATAGAGAGACCCTATCTCAAAATTTAAAAAATAGTGGGGGGTTGGGGTTGGGAGTGCATGTAGCTCATTGGTACACTTGCTTAGCATTGCATGAGACCCTGGGTTCAGTCCCCAATACAGAAAGAAAGAAGAAGAAGAAAAAGACAAAACATCAAAGATAAAACTCTAAGGAAAGCTGGCTCCATAATGAGGCCCGGATTTGCTTCCTATGTCTCTCCTTTCTCCAGCCCCCACTTAAGACAGATCTTCCTGAAGGACAGAGTAGTTTCTCCCAACTAGCAGTTCAAGAACAAGGTTGTTTGCCTGACTCCTAGAAGAGGTCATGCTACCCCCTTCAGAATGGACAAATAATATCACCCTACACCAAAGGATGAGTGGGGCATGGAGTAGATTTATCACACTAAAGTTTGTCCTTGAGTCAGCATAACTCAAGTCAGTGTTTCACTGTCTACCTTAGCATGAACCCATGTGTCTTGCCCATGACTGGCCACCTGGTCTACAGCATGGCTGGAAGAGACAGCCCAATAGATACAGCACATGGTTTGGCATCAACACACCTTGGCTAGGGTACTTCTTGAGTTGGTTAAATCCCTTAGCTTCTCTGAACTTTTTCTTCACCTTTAATTAGATACTTATATCACAAATGATTGGCAAGAGTCAAATGAGGCACCTGTAAAAGCCCCTTGAAAATTCATACATTCCCCACCACCCCCATACTAAGGACTGAACCTAGGGCACTTTACCACTGAACTACATCCCCAGACTTTAGACTTTCAATTCTTCTGCATCTCCAGCCTCTTGAGCAGCTAAGATTACAAACATGCCCACTGCCCACCATTCCTGACTGCACATTTCTCTTTAGTATTATAATAAAAGAGCAGAATAGGGGCCTACCCAAGAGCTGCAAGAAAGCCTTGGAGATGATGATGAATGGCTGTGGCCTATGCCACAGAACACTTCAAATCACTCAGCACTGATAAGAACCTTCTCTGGGGGTTAGAAACAGAAATGAGAGCCCATCAAAGGAAAGGTGGAGATTCAGGAGATCAGCAAGCTCAGCTTTCCCTTTAAGCTGGGAGATCCTATCCTTTCTCATAAGGAATTAAACCTTGTTCCCTGAAAGAATCTATATTATATTTTAAAGGATCAGTTTGCTACTAGACCACAACTTTTCCAGTAGATACGAATATTATGCAATCTTCTCTAACAGGCTAGAGTGAAATGAGAAATACAAGTCATGAAGCAGGCCTAACATTGGGTGGGAAATATGACTTTGTTCACTTAGTGTAGGGAGCATTGAGTATCAGGAACCACTCATACTTTCCACATTTTCCTGTATTTAAGTCCTCATCCCAAAATAACTTCACTGGGGATGGAACTGTTCTGTTTCTGTGACCATCTCCCCACCACCCCCCCCATGCTGCAGGATACTTGATGAGAATATTCTGCTGTCTGAATGTACTATGTGTTTAAAGGTAGGTCCCATACTCAGAGGCAATTAAAAAAGGTGAGTAGCCAGCAGTTTGAGACTTCATCCTTGGAAAAGTCTCCCTTCTCAAAGGTGGTCAGTCCAGGCCGGTAGAAAAAAGTACGAATGTACCAAGGAGAAGAGGGACACAGCCACATTCTCCAGATAGGTACCCTCTAGCCTGAGAGGGCTACCCTCTTGCTATAAACTTTCAGGCGTTAGGCAGCGTTTGCACCCAGGCAAGCCAAACTCAGAACCAAATGAGCTCCCCATCCCAACTCTTTTCCCCAAATCAGCCAAAGGTAAATCCAATATCTTGCTTCCCAAGCCAATTTCCCACACGTCCCAATGTCCTTATTGTATCTACGAAATTCTTCATTAGCTATCTCAAATGCCACCAATTTCCAGAGGCCTTCTCTGAACCCAGACCAAGAGTAGCCTTTTTTTTTTTTTTAACCAACCCCAGGGACAAGATACGTAAATTCCTGATTCATCTCTGGACAGATTAGCTAAAGGGCCTCAGCTTACCCACCTCTACAATGGATTCACAAAACCCACTAATACAGGCACAGAGAAGGCACAGGAAGTTGGGAAGGGACTGTTTCCCGGGGACCTAGGCTTAGGATCCATGAAGCTGTAAAGGTCTGACGGTACGGAGAGATGGAAGAGAAGGGAACACGTCAGCTGGACGACTGCATGCTCAACCCCAGGCCAGCACTGTGTAGAGACCTGGGACTTCAAAAGGGGTAGGAGTTCGGCTAGGCGTCCTCGCTGTAATCTGTCCCCTCCAGGCCTCCGTACACAGTGAGCCCGGCGGTACAGCTCGCCCTCCTCTGCAGGTCTTTTTGGGGCCCCAAGCCTCAGGGTCTTAGCCCTCACTCCCGAGCCCCGCCTGCCGCGGCCGCACCTGGTCCGAATCCTCGTTTTCGCTGCTGTAGCAGCACCCCATGGCCGGGGTCGGGCCGGGCGCTCAGGCCGCGCGGAGGAGGGACGGCGTCCGTCAAGAGCCCTTCCGGTCACATGACCTGAGGCTGCCTCCCGCAAGCAACCTGCCTTTCTCCCCCGGCCTACAGCGTCCCAGAGCCGCTGGGCTCCGCGGCCAAAACCCCGACTTCCGGTCCCGCCCCCAGCCCCGTGATCATAGCCACCCAATGAGAAGGCGCACCCTACGTGACAAGATACGAGACACGTGATACGAGGAAAGAGAGGGGTGTGTCATATGACTATCATCTCAGTCTTAAACTGGAATCATCTCCACCCCTGGCCGTAGTGGCCTTCTTGTGAGTTGCGCTGTGATCGCATGGCCCCCTAGGCCACCTTTTTAGGCCAGTGAGTGAACTCATGTAAATGCTCCATGATGCACTTCTTGGTTTTGCTTTGGTACTGTTGATTGAACCCAGGGATGGTTTATCACTGAGCTAAATCTCCAGCCCTTTTTATTTTTGATACAGGGTCTTGAAAAATTGCTGAAGTTGGCCTCCAACTTGACATCCTCCTTCGGCTTCCCAAATCAATGGCATTACAGACTTGTGCCCCATGCCGAGTTTGTCACCATACATTTTTAAATGCCATGCGAGCCGCGAATGGGATCCAGACCCCATTCTTGTAGATCATACAATTGGTGCGCACACGTAGGCTCTACATGCCTGATGCCGGTGGGATGAGGGGTTTACTCCTTCACAAGCTAAATAGGAGTAGAAATCATCCCGGTAGAGGCGGTAGAGGCGCTAGACCCACATGGTTGACCGTCTCAGGCATTTCTCTTCAATTCTACCTTTTCACAGTAGCCACAGTAATCTAATTTACAAAGGTGGCCTTAGATTTTCTGTAAAACCTTCCCAAAGGGGCTGCGGTTGTAGCTCAGTGGTAGAGCGCTTGCCTAGCATGTGTGAGGCAGGGTTCCAGGCTCAGCACCACAAAATGTGTCCATCCACATCTAATAAATAAAGCCCTCCCAAGGCTGGAGATTTCGTTTGGTGCCTAGGATGTGACCCCCAGCAGCTTAAAAAAAAAGCCTCCTGCCTTCTGTTGGGCCCTGGAAAGAGGTCCAAGTCTGTCATTCCAGATGATTCATTGCCTGGCATCTGCTTCCCACTCCATGCCATGCCCAGGGGAAATACTTCTAGTCCCCCCCATCATCTATTTTTTTTTTTTTAATACTGGGGATTGAACCTAGGGGTGCTTTACCACTGAACTACATTCTCAGCTCCTTATTTTGTGACAGGGTCTCACTGAGCCACCCAGGCTGGCCCTGAACTTGCCATCCTCTTGTCTCAAGTCTCCGTAGTGGTTGGGATTACAGACTATACCTGGTTTCACTCATTTATTAAATCAACAAATGTTTACAGTGTTTTATCTGGATAGGCAGTAGTTTAAAAAAAAAAAAAGTAAAAAGTCCTTGTACTAGTGGAGCATCCAATCTAGGATCACAGCATATTGTCTTCTGTTGTTCCCGGATCAGTTTCTTCTATCAAACTTGGAGTTCCTGAAGGACAGGAACAGGTTCTAATTCTTCTCTGTGACCCAAGCCCTAACACTTGCTTAGAGAAAACTTGAATTTTGAATTGAGTAAATTCCATTCTATCACCTTGGCTCACACCATGTCCATGTCGTCATCACAGAAGTTGGAGAAGTCACCAAACCTAGTAGCACTTGTTACTCTCAAATCAAGACCCTGGAGTTCTATACGTTTTTTGAAGGCTCCTGACAGACAGGAGGCATCTCCAGCTTGTCCCTGGGTCTGGTAACTGGAACTGCAGGTCTCAGATAACAACAGCAGCTTCAGCATCAATTATTGAAAACAGGTCCAGCTTCTTGTCTCAGGGTTACTTCCCCTAAGGACTTCCCCTCTGGTTCTGTACTCCGGTCTTCCCTAAGCAGCAGCTTCCAGCCCAGGTAAGCGGGCCTTCTGGGTTCACAAGCACACCCAGTTCACGTCCACTATCACTCATCTATTCACATCCATTCATATAGTGTTTTACCCACCTCCAACCAGGAGCTTTGCAAGGAGGCCTGCAAAGTCAGATCTGGAAGGGGAGGGTGGTCCAGAACATGGGAAAGGGACTTGGAGAAGAGGGCTGGGGGAGGGGAGTGTGTGTGATGTGTTTATGTGTATGTATGCACTTATAAAGGGAATTCTGAGAGATCACAGAGGAAGGGGAATATAAGAGAGGGAAGATAGGACTGGAGGTGAAATATAGAATCAAGGACTCCTTCCATTCCCAGGGAAGAGTAAAGGGACAGTCTGGTGTGGGAAGACATCACACTCTAACACCTTATGAAGTGTTTTGATTACCTTTACTGAAGCAGTCCACAGTGACAGTGAAGGGTTTTTGAACTACAAAGCTTTGCTCTTTTGCAACACAGTAATGGGTCAGAAGAGACCCATAGCATACCTCCACCATACTGGATAGTGGGATATGATGGGGGTATGATATCTTGGGAGGAACTGAAGAAAGAAGTCCTGAAGAAGGGGTGACTTCAGGGATGAAGGGAAATGGATTGTAGCAATGTGGAGATGGGACCAGAAGTCAGTAGTATTAAGAGTGGTATGGGGTTGGGTGCTGAACATAGACAGTATGCCATCCTTTTAGTACAGTGTTTTGGAATCATACCAACCTGGATTCAAATCCCAATTCTGCTGTGTGACTCTGGGCAAAAGACTTAATCTTCCTTAGCCATGGCTTGTAAAATGTGAGCCTAATAATTGCTAATGGCAAAGACCACGAATGACAAATTGTGGGGTGGGTTTCCCCTCCCTGCCTCCCTCCATCTCAGACCCAGGTAGGGATCATGTCCCCTGCCATTGCACTGGCATTCCTGCCACTGGTGGTAACATTGCTGGTGCGATATCGGCACCATTTCCGACTGCTGCTGCGCACAGTCTTACTGAGGAGTTTCCAAGACTGCCGGTCAGGGATGCGGATTGAAGAGAGAGCCTTCAGCTATGTGCTCACCCATGCCCTACCTGGAGACCCTGGACACATCCTCACCACCCTGGACCACTGGAGTAGCCACTGCGAGTACCTGAGCCATATGGGGCCTGTCAAAGGTCAGTGTTGCCCAGCCTTCTGCTCCAGGAAGTACCCCTAATATCTGGGATTTGTCACTGCCTTACTTGGTGAATTGGGCAGGTTAGTGACCCTCTTTGGGTCTCTTTTTTCTGATCTGGGAATGAGAGACCTGCATTAAGTCATTCATTTATCCATCAAATATTTATTGCCATGTTATTTGTACCAGGCATGTGCTAGGTGCTGGGAGAGGAGGTAGAGGCCACAATAGAACCAGCCACAAATGCTGGACTCAAAGGGAGCAAAATACACGGAAAAATAACCACGTAACTCATTGCTTTCTAATTATCTGTGTCCCAGTCTTTCTTCCCTACCAAAGATTCTACATCAGGAAAAGTGCCTGCCTGATTTATCTCAGACCTGACTCCCAGCACAAGTGCTTTCACAATCTTAAGAAATTCAAGATCACAAAGATATCCAATGAACAATAAAATGGGATGAAACAGGAAGCTTCTCAGGAGTCTCAAAGATGGGATGGTTGCTTTTGCCTGGGCTCTCCTGGAGGAAGCCACATTTGAACTGAGTCTGGAAGGATTTGTTTCAGGTTGAACAGGTGGATAGGGACAGGTGTAGAAAGGCAAAGCCAACCACAAATACAAATGCAGCATGAAGGAATGAGACAGCAATGGTTGATTCTGGGCAGTTGTTTCAGATGGCTGTTATATAGGTTATAAGTAGAAGAGCTGAGAACTGTAGCTGGAAAGGTAGGATAGGATCAGGTCTGAGAAGTTCCTAAACACCAGGGTGAGGTTCTCAAGTCCAATCCTTAAGGCTTTTAGAATCACAGGAACAGGGATTGATAAGATTATATAGATTTATATAGATGTTATATAGATTTCTAGTCTAGTGAAGACTAGACTAGCGGGAGCAGTGAGGCAGCTGTAGTTATGATCCAAGAGAAGTAGGATCTTAGGTGGTTGAAGCTGCAATGAGGCAGGTGGGCATTGAAGATATCTTTTCATAAGGAGCCCTGCATCCATCTCCCATGTCTTCTACAACAGCCCTCTCACCCTGTAGGTCAGATCCTGGTGCGGCTGGTGGAGGAGAAGGCCCCTGCTTGTGTGCTGGAGCTAGGCACCTACTGTGGATACTCCACCTTGCTTATTGCCTGTGCCCTGCCCCCTGGAGGTCGCCTTGTCACGGTGGAGCGGGACCCACGAACAGCAGCAGTAGCTGAAAAACTCATTCGCCTGGCTGGCTTCGATGAGCACAAGGTCAGCCTCCCCATGCCCCTGCCCCTGATCTTTTCTCTGCTACCCCAGGCCTTGCCCTAGCCAGGCCTCCCTTTTGAGGAATTCCCATTTAGGAAGAAGGAAGCAGCTTCACTTAGGCAGCTGGGATCCTGGAGGGTGTTTGAGCTCCTATCATCTTGTCCCAAGTCACTTGCAAATATTTTCTTCTGCATGACAAAAGTAGCAGCTACTTTTTGGAAAAGGTCTCCAAAGCCCGGCAAATATGAATCTAAATCTTAGCCTTCCTCTAGTTAGCTTTGAGTCCTTGGGCAAAGAACATATCCTCTGAATCTTAGTTTCTTTATGGGCAAAATGGAAATGACAATACTAATCCTGATTTCTTGGGTTCTAAGCACCTAGAAATGCCTAACATGAAGTAAGCCAGATCCTGGTTGGGTCCAGAGTGGGAAAGCAATTTGGCCAATCCTTACCTCCAGTACCTCCTACCCAACAGGTGGAGCTCATTGTTGGCAGCTCAGAGGAGGTGATCCCACGCCTACGAGCCCAGCACCAGCTGAGTCAGGCAGACCTTGTACTCCTGGCACATCGACCCCGGTATTACTTGCGGGACCTACAGCTGTTAGAGGCCCATGCTCTGCTGCCAGCTGCTGCAACTGTCTTGGCTGACCATGTGCTCTTCCCTGGTGCACCTCGCTTCCTACAGTATGCCAAGAGCTGTGGCCACTACCGCTGTCGGCTCCACCACACTGGCCTCCCAGACTTCCCAGCTATCAAGGATGGTATAGCCCAGCTTACCTATGCTGGACCTGGCTGAGGTCCAGGACCAGGGATATTTACCAACACTCCCTACCCCTGCCCAAACAAGGACCTCAGAACATTTATTTCCTCCCTGTTCGGAGCCTGACATGTGCTGGGCTCAGAGCTGGGGGGCATTTCTCCCTAACTTTACCTTTCCAGCCTCCACACTGACCCAAAGTGTCATATTCTATCAGGCTGCTTGTTTTCACTGGTCCCCCTCCTTCTGGAGAGATCCATGGATAGACAACAGACCATGGGCCTGAGCCCCCAACCCAGCTCTGTCACTGGTTTTCTGGGTGACTCCAGGGGAGTCTTGCCCTGCTCAGAGATTTAATCCACTCTCTTAACATTAAAGTTGCTGGCTAGGAGAGCCTCAGGGCTTCTCAGATCTGGGCTTCAGAAAGCCTCTCCTCCCTAGCCCATACCATTCTGCGTGGAATCAGAGGAAAAAGCAGAATGAGAGGCCTGAAGGAACGGCTTGGTGCCAAGTTGGGCCAGGAGAAATGACACAGGAGCTTAGGCGCAGGCTTCCCAAACCTGGCCCACTTGGCCAATTAGGTTTGCTTTATATCCCTTGAATGTCCCCTCCCCAAAGCCTAGGAAAAGATATGCACTCCTCTGGGCCCCACCAACAAATAGGGAATAGACATGGGGGGAAAGTCATTCCTGTGTCTTTATTAAAGAGAGTTAGAAAGAAACCAGACCTGGCAACCAAGGGGTGAGGTACTGACCAGGCAGGTGGGGTAGGCTCAGGCTCTGGGAATTCAAGGGCCAACTGATGGCCTAGGAGGGGTCAAGGAGACCAGGTTCTTGCAGCAGCTGAGGAAGTGCCCAAGGGTGAGCTTTTAGGCATTGGGGCCATCAGCTGGTTCTGCAGGCTGAGGGACTAGGGCAGGGATGTAGGGTAGGTTAGGCTGGCCTGGAATCGCCCTGAGGCCACCCTGCCTTGTCTACCTAGATCATCCACTGGTCCTGATCCTGTTCGTTGCCTTCCATGTCCACCTGGAGAGGAGGCTGGGTGTGGGTGGGGAGGGGCCTCAGCCAGCCTCAGCCCCAGATCTGGCCCTTGGATGAATCCAGGGTTTCTGTACCCGTTGGCCATCAATTAGGTCAGGGGCAGGGGCCCAGGAACAGAGGCCCTCCCCTACACTCCCACCTACCTCATTGACCTCTCCATCATCAGGTGACTCGTTATAGTCATTCATCTCGTCCATGTCCTGCATGTCCTCATCATCCTCTGAGTCCTCTTCACTGTCCTCATCGTCTTCATCATCCTCCTCTTCCTCATCATCATAGTGCTGGTGGGGTAGGGGAAAGCCTGTAGGCCCTACAGGGCTGCCTGGACCAGTATAACAGCTGGCCAACTTGGAAACCTCCCTCTCCCTGACCTTGCCCCCACCTTGAGTTTAGCAGGACCTTGAGTTTAGATGTTCTACAGGACCTTGGTGTTAGGCCCAATGCCCACCCCATTAAGCTCCCCTTTTTAGCATTGGCCCACTCTGAGAACCACAAATGCACCAAGTCAGAAGCAGAACATTCAGAATTAGTATAGTTGTGATCCACCCTGGGTCTCACATAGGCCCCACTTGCAGGAGCCACTCACCTCTGAGGCTGGCTTGCCAATAGGTACCAGGTTGTTGTCTTTCTCTGCGATGCTTTGAAGCTGCAGGCAAAACAGGGAGGGGAAAGCAAGGCTAGGGCCCAAGCAGGGCAGGTCAGGGACATGGGACTGGCCCACTCTGCCCTCAAGAAAACCATCAAGTGTTGGGGAAAAGCTTCTTCCCGGTTCTCAGGAAAATTCAATCCCTTTTCTCCCATTATCTGCCATGTATAAATCTGACTCAACTACTTAATCTCCTGGGCCTTGGTTTCTTCATATAATTATGGTGAAGGTGAAGTGAGATAATTAACCTAAAACACGCCATCTGCTAGGTTCTGATAAATGATTAAAATTGCTAATTCCTGTGATTTGAGGAATAGAGCTTGGGCTGAGTGTCAGAAGCCTAAGTTCTAATCTGTCCCAGAATTTCCAGGGTCCCCAGCAAATCAGGGTACCATAAAGATAAGAATTTTGGTCCCCTGATTCCCAGCCTGATTATTCCCAGTTAAGGACAAAAAAACTCTCCAGGGCAGGTCCTACAGTAAGGCTGGGTCCTGGCCAGAGGGAGTGATAGGGGATATGTTTCTGACTGTGCTATGCTTTGCTAGATCCTCACTCACCCAGGCCTGATGCTGCTGTTCCTGCTGCTGCAGCTCTGTCTCCTCCACACAAGGCCGATCCAGATTAAACCACAGTGTCTCAGTCACCCGGGGGAAGAGTGAAGGGAACAAGGTGGACATGGCTCCTAGACTGAGGGAAAGTGTTAAGTGAATGTGTTTTGTTTTAGTTTGGTTTTTATTTGGTTGTAATTTGACTTAGGGACTGGGTGGAGTGGAAGGTAGCAGGGAAACAGGCCTTCCTTCTAGGAATGAGACAGACCTGGGTTTGAGTCCTGGCTCCACCACTCACTAGGTGTTTGACTTTTGCCAAGTCACTTAACCTCTCTGGGCCTGTTTCCTCATCTGCAAAATGGGGATAATAACAATTATATCACCCTCACAGTTATTCTAGTAAATAAAATAATGGATAAATCAAATCGTAGGCTGGTTGTTCAAGGAGGTAAGAGAATGGGAGCCAGGTGTAGAGATAGAATCCAGATTTTAAACTGGTATTACAAAATTAGGGAAAGCAGGGCTCTAATGATATTTATGTCTACCCCATCCAAGCCCTAAAATTTACTTTTTGCCCCTTTATGATGGTCCATACCACACGCAACCAGTTCAAAACATTTGGGACACTAACCACTTCTTTGATGGACCCGTCAAACTGAGGGCTTGCACCACGTGCTGTCAGGGTCCAGTAAGCATTCTAAAAGGCATGAATAAATGAGTAAGCAGATGGAAGACTAAATGGATGAACTAATATTTAAGAGAACAAATCCAACTTTGTGAACTCAGCTGACCAGATAAATCCCAAAGGTTCCGATTTAAAACTTCTTAGCTCACAGACAGGAAAACTGAGACCCAGCGACAGGAAGATACTGGCTTCAGGTCACAAGGTGAGTTGGGACTTAAAACTAGTGCAGGGAAGGGATCCAGACCAGGCACCGAAAGAGGTGAGATGAAAAAAAAAAGATCTGTCTCGTTTTCTAGCTTTTGCCCTAACTTATTGACCGGCCCAAGACCAGCTGCTGGCGTTCTCTCGACCAACGCCAAGCGCGTCCACTCTTGACACCCTAGAACTAACTCAAGGACAGAGATCTTGCCTCCGAAAACCTAACAGGCCACCGCCCAGTCTTTGCTCATTACGATAATGACCGTGCGGTTGACCAACAGGAAGAAGGCAGAGGCGGGACTCGGACAGGAGTTTTCCCTTATAGGGTCGCTAATCGTGAAAGGACCGGGGTCTGGGTAGAGCCAATTAACTGAAAGAAATGCTGGGTGACAGGAAGTGACACCAATGAATGACGGGTATTGTGTGAAGGGGTGGGGCTTAGTCTTGAGGAAGCGGCCAATGAGCAGAAGCTATTTACGGTTAAAGGAATCTGAACATGGAGCTCCTGGGGAGGCAAGTCAAAGGGCTAGGTTCCCCTGGGGGAAAGAGGAAAGAAGGAGCAAGAAGACGGCCGCAGCCTCGCTTCTGTACTTACCCCGCCGGAGGCGGCAGCCGGCGGCGACCCGGAAGCGCTTCACCTAGCCTGAGCGGAAGAACCCACCAAAATCCGGGGACCCACCAAACGCATGCGTCCTTCGTGTCCTTTTGTTTCCCGCTCCCGCCCACCACACCGGAAGTGACGTTTGTGTATTAGCCGGTACAAGGTGGAGAAGGAAATTTGCGGCTCCTACCTCTTGGCACCGCCTTGCGTTCCACCCAATCAGCTTTCCATCGTGACCCGGCCAGCAAGAACCCATTTATCCCCGCCCCTTCGTGGTCGGGCCGTATTTGCGCGCTAACCGAAAGAAATGGTTACGGTCAACCTGCTTTGGTGTAAGGTCTTAGTCCTGGTGTGTCCCGGAAAATCTGCTTCTACTCCAGAGTCGCTGGGTGATCTTATGCTTCTCCTGTATGTCTTCTCGCAGACTTGGTTTCCCATTTGAACATATTCGTTATTTAATGTATGCCTTGAATAAAATTATTTGAGTCTTCACTGTATTTATTCCAGGTTCTGTTAGAAGCTGGGGATAAATCTGTGAATATGGTCACTACCCCCAAAGGCCTCACAGTACAGTGGGGATATTAGACCTGCACCTCGAGTGAATTCACTAATCTTTTAATATTGCCTGTCCAGTTGTGATATTAGAGATTACATACATAGTTGAGGTATTGGTTAGCTTCAGGCACAGCACTCTGCTGCTGGGGAATTCTGCTGTCCCTTTCGGGTCTGGACCAAATCTCAGAGGTCAATCTGGTCACCTCTTCCCCTCCTTAGTTGATGCATCTGTCTCTGCCTTCCCTTCAGACAGCTTCTGGTGGAAGAAGCCCTTTACACCCAGCTCCCATTAAACTATATCACCTGAATGATATGGACAGTAGGCCCCAGGGAGGGAACTTCCCTTACTGTTCCCCTACCTGCCCTCCTGTCTGGCCTTAAATTAGCCAAAACTCCTCCCATGACCAGGCTCTCCTGCCGCCCCCCCCCCACCTCGCCAAAGATGTGCCCCTCCAGTGCTGAATCGCTGATCCTCTAAGGTCGGCCTCCATTTTCTTTTTCTTTTTGAATCCTCTTTCATTTGCTTTCATCACCTACTAGTCTCTTCAGGGCCAACAATCATCCACAGTTCCACTCCTGTCCAAGCACTCTACCACTGAGCCACAACCCCAGCCCCCAGTTGTGTAAACTTTGACCAGTCCTTTTCCTATGTCTACATTCAGTTTCTTCTTTAACCAGCATCATAATCTGCCCAGCCTTCCTCCTGTCCTAGGCTGCTGTGAGATTTGAATGAGATTAACAGCTGTTCAACAAATTAAAACCTATGATGGACATTTAGTTCATTTAGTAATTTTCTTCAATATTTATTCCTCCCCTCCCACCACTTTTGTTTCCTTTCTGCTAAAAAGAAGCAGGATATAATGAATAAGATGCCAGTTTTAGACAGCCACACCAAACTCTTATTAAATATCTCCTCATTTTCCTTGAGGCATCCTGTGTGCTCAGAAACTTAAGGTCTAAGAAGAAATCATTTGGTTTTCCAAAATGCACACCTCTTTCCATTGATTTGTCCTTTACAACCATTGTACTCATTTTTTGTTTACTTACACTAAATAAATTTCTACAATAGAAGGGGAAAAAAAAAAAAAGCTTTTCAAGAGGAGAGTACAGTGCCTAATGAAAGTGATTATGTTGCCAAGCCACTCCATAAGTCCAGTGGCTTGGGAGGCAAGACGATCACAAGTTCAAACCCAGCCTCAGCAACTTACCAAGATCCTGAGCAATTTAGTGAGAACCTGTCTCAAAAAGGGTTGGCCAGGCGTAGTAGCCCACCCCTGTAATCCTAGAGGCTCAGGAGGCTGAGGCAGGAGGATCATGAGTTCAAAGCCAGCCTCAGAAACTTAATGAGGTCCTAAATAACTTAGCGAGATCCTTCTCTAAATAAAATATTAAAAAGGGTTGGAGCCATTGCAGTGGCACCTGCCTGTAATCCCAGTGGCTCCAGAGGCAGGAGCATTGAGAGTTCAAAGCCAGCCTCAGCAATGGCAAGGTGCCAACCACCTCAGTGATACCCTGTCTAATAAAATACAAAATAGATCTGGGGATGAGACTCAGTGGTTGAGTTCCCCTGAGTTCAATCCCTGGTAACCCCTCAAAAAAAAAATTAAAAACAGATTTTCATTATAGAATAAAATTTGCTTTCTTGGAAACATCCACCCTTTTCATTCATTCATTCAACAAATACCTATTGAATGTTAATATGTAGATTCCATCACATATTCTAAGTAGTGACTATACAATAGTAAACAAAATAGATCAAAGAGTCCCTAATCACGAACTTCCATTTTAATGAGAGAGATAAACAATAAAGGAGCTAGATAAAATAGTTTTAAGACTGTAGTAAATACTGAGGGAGGAAAAAGAAGTGAGAATAAAATATTGTTGGGGAGGTGTGTTAGATGGGCAAGCCACTGATGTCACTGCAAGGTATTGAGTAAAGGTCTGAAGGAAGACATAGACTTCTGATATTTGGGGAAGGTTATTTCAGAGACAGCAGCAAGTGCAAAGCAGGAACCGAATAGCTATGACCTTGCAGGTCCTAATAAGAACTTTTACTTTGTGTTGGGGAATCAGCAAAGGGTTGTTAGCAGAGAATCCATATAATCTGATTTCCATTTTAATAGAGATATTTTGTTCTATGAACAATAGATTTGGGACAAGGATACAATGTTGGGGGCAGGGAGACCAGTTAGGAGCCCATTATAATAACCCAGGAGAAGTAGATGAAAAGTGGCTGAGTTTTTAGTTTATTTAGAAGAGAAGGTAGACACAAGATTTGCTGATAGGATCAGAGGATCAGAGGGAGAAGCAAGATTTTTGGCCAGAACCACTAAATTATTGGTATTACTATTTTTTGAGATGGGAAAGCCTAAGGAGGTGCTTTTTTGTGTGGGAGCATTATCTGAAGCTCAATTTTGGGGTGAGTTATGGTTTAGATATTAGGTGTCCTCCAAAAGTTCATATATGAGAACAATACAAGACGATTTAGAGGAGAAATGATTGGATTATGAGAGTCTTAACCCAATTGGTGAATTCATCCCCTGATGGCATTAGCTGAGTGGTAACTGAAGGCCAGTAGGGTGTGGCTGTAGGAACTGGGTCCCTAGGTGCCTGCCTTTAGGGTATATATTTGGTATCTGGCAAGTAGAATTTCTGCTTTCTGATCATCATTTGAGCTGCTTGCCTACACCACATTCATCTGCCATGATGTTCAGCCTCACCTCATAGCCCAAGAAATGGAGCCAGCCACCTATGGACTGAGGCCTCTGAAATTGTGAGCCCCCAAATAAACTTTTCCTCCTCTACAATGTTCTGGTTGGGTCTTTTAGCCACAGCAGCAAAAAAGCTGACTAAAATAGGATGTATTGAGTTTGAGATGGCCATTAGAAATGTAGAGAGTACATGAAGGTATATGGATATGCACATCAAAAGAGAGATCTGGGGGGCTGGGATTGTGGCTCAGAGGTAGAGCGCTTGTCTAGCATGTGCGGGGGCCCTTGGGTTCGATACTCAGCACCACATAAAAAACTAAACGAGTGGAATAAAGATATTGTGTCCAACTACAACTAAAAAAATAAATATTAAATAAAAAGAGAGATCTGGGTTGGATATATTAATTTGGGAGTCATTGTTGAGCCAGGATGCAAAGAAAAGACCACCAACTCCAATTTTAAACCAAATTAAAGGGCTGGGGACGTGGCTCAAGCGGTAGCGCGCTCGCCTGGCATGCGCGCCACCCCGGGTTCGATCCTCAGCACCACATACGAACAAAGATGTTGTGTCCGCCCATAACTAAAATAAATAAATTAATTAATTTAAAAAAAAAAAGAATTAGGCTGGGTTGATCAGTCATCAGCACATAGATGATGTTTAAAGCCATGAGACTAGATGAGATCACAAAAGGAGGCAGTGTAGATGGAAAATAGTTTCCCCTGATATTAAGCATTTGAGTAAACTAGGAGAAGCAGCAAACCAGATGGAGGAAGAAGGCCAAAAAGTTTAAAAAACCAGGCAAGATGGGCGGTATCCTGGAAGCCAAGTAAAGAAGGGTATCAGGAAGAAGGGAGAGATCTAACACGGCCCAGTTCTGTACAAGATTGTGTTTCTTTTTGTTTGCTCAGCTGACCATGAGCTCCTTGAGGGTAGAGACTGAATGGTTTCTATGTCCCCAGGGCCAGGCCTGACCTCTGGATACTTCATCTGCTCCTTCAGTGATCTATTCCTCCAGCATCTTCTCCTCTGTTCCTTTTTCTTACAGGATTCCCACCTCAGGCATACTTTGCATCCTATCCTTCTTGACATCTCTGATCTGCTGTAAATTACCCAGTAACCTAGAGTTTCTTTCCACAGTCCTCAGCCAAGTTCAACAAGTCATGGTGACTAATTAGCTGGTGACATTTATTGAGTGTCAACTGAGTACCAGACACCTTGTTAAACCCTGGGACAGAGTGATGAAGCAGAAAAAAAAAATCTATGTCCTAGAGAAAAATACAGGCTAGGGAGGACTAAGACAATTATAGAAGAGGGTGGTGTTAAAAATCAATGTATGTAGAGTAAGCTGTAAGAACACAGTGAAGGAGAGATGAATGAGTTCTGGACAAACTAAGTTTAGACTTTTGTTCCAGAGAAGGAAACATTTGTGTGGGCCTTGAGTGATGAGTAGGAGTTAAGCCTACTGGTAGACAAGTTGGAGAAGGGGGTGCACAAAGAAGCACATTACATTCAAGGACATGGAGAACTGTGAGAATCCATTTGGACAGAATTAGATACATGTGGATGAAGAAAGACCCAGATTGGGAAAGGGCCTTAGTGGTACAGATATGGAGTAGACAGAATGGGACCTAAGTATCCTGAGTGTTAG